TTTGGAAAGGATACAAAAGTGGGCCACAGAATTAATTCTTGAAAAATTATGTAACACGTAATTTAAAGGTAAGGAATTTTTAAAGATTTTTTGTTTAAGCGTACGTTTATGAAAAGTTTTGTATAGATTTCGGAAATTATTTACATTAATAGAAATTAATCATTACAAAGTCTAATAATATTATTAAACATTTTAAAAAATAATACAAATAAGTTGCTATGTTTGTTTGCAAAGAATTCAAATAGCATTTAAAGAAAACGGTTTGTTTCCGGATAATTGATTTATTTGTATTCTAATTATGACAGTTCGTTGGATAATTTGACTAAAAACATTTGTATTTATATTGAACATCTTTGCTCTTCATATTATCAAATTTATTATTATCATATTAATATTATTTATTTATTTAAATCGTATTTCACATATAAACATACATACAAATATTTTTCATATCAATACAATATACCCTTGAACCCTACGAATATATTGGGTAGTAAAACAGAGCCGAACTTGAAGAGCCGCAGAAGAACAGTTCAAAGCCCCGGCAGGCAGTAGCGGCAACTGCCACAAGTACGAGTATATTTAATAACAAATAGATGAAGAAGCGAGGCGGAGGAAGTGCACCAGGAGCAGAGCCACATCAGCGGAGACTTCGTGGGCGCCGCTAATGAGCGGCAGGCGGACACCCCGAGGCGTCCGATCTCCCGAGTCCCGAGTTCGAGATGAGATATTCCCTCGATCCGTCGCCCGAGAACACTTGTCATAAACAGCTAATAGACGCGTGCAGCGACAACTTGATTAATTGAAACTAAATGGGTCCGAGTCTTCAGATTGCAGCTAACGCTGCGTGCCGAACAACAATTAGAAACGGTAAGAAAAAAAGAACTCAACTCAACCGAATAGAACTGAACTAAACCGATCTGGCAGGAAGTGCAGCACACAACTTGGGCACAATTAAGCAAATGACAAATGGCATCAAATTGCATGCAAAATGCTAAGATGGTAAAATGGTAAAATGGCAAATTGCAAATGGCCGAGGCGCCATCAAGATGCCGGAACGAGGGACCAAGGTGATCTTGGTCATTGAACGCAGCAGCAGCAACAGCAACTTACTGCACAGCAGCAACATGTTGCACATTCCAAGCGTTGTCCGTTAGCGGCTGGTGCAGTTTTAATAAATTTAAATGTGGCCAGCGAACAACAAAGAAGCTGTCATTTGAGCGGCCAACGAGAATCGGTAATTGATGCCAAGGTTGCACGGGAAAAAAATGCCACCAAGCCTGGTCATCAACTCGGCCATTTTTCACCTATTTGTGGAATATGTGTAATTTTCTTCAACAACCTGTCACTTTAAGAAATCAATTTCATAAGAAATTCGAGTACAAATTTTAGAGTAAAGTTTTAAAAATTGCCAAGCATGCGATAGATCACCAAAAAAATATTTTTAACTCATTTATTTTTAATATTTATACTTTATAAATTTTTTAAAATTAAAAAAAAATTAAAACAGTTCACAAGATATTTTAAGACATGTCAAACACCATTTTTTCCCCGTGTGCCTACCACAGCAATTGTTGCTGCTAAAATTGTTCATTCTCATGGCTTATCAGTGAATTTGCGAGCATTTCTTGTGGCATTAGTTACCCACGTATTGCATAATGCACGGCAGCAACTTGCAACATCTGCTGCAACTGCAACTGTACCAATGCCAATGCCACGGAGACTTTTTGGGCTGCGATCAGGCACCGGCTATTACACAAATAACAGCTAATAACAGTAATAATTCAAATTAATTTCGCACCATTTGAAATCATTATGTGATAAAGAGAAGATACCGCAGAGACCTCGGCCAAGAAAAGCGGAGGAGTCGCAGCAGCGGTATCAAGATCGCTATTAAAATAAAAATGAAGACAAAACTTTGGCAGATAAAAAAAGAGCAGCACTAAAATGGCACCGAAATAGAGAGGAGAAGGAAAACCGAACCGAAGCGAAGGCAACCGAAAGCCAATAAAGTCTTGGCCAAAAGGAAAAAGTTGCGCAGAAAAATTACCGCCAAAGACCAAAAGATCAAGCCAGAGGGAAATAAACAACAACAACGGCAGGAGGAAAAAGCGGCTAGAAAAAAAAGAAGATTGCTATTGGCACTTGAGCAGCAGCAGCAGCAACATCGTGCTGCGTCTCCCTCTCTCTTTCACTCATTTAAGCCGCACTGCACAAAATTGTTTATATTTAAGAACGATTTTAGATAAATAGGAAATAATAAAGACAATATCTAATATCTTAGACCCGAAAGATAAAAAATATTTCAAACATTTCATGATCAATATTGATTTTAAAATGGCAAAGATCAAAGATCTGTTATCAGGTTAAAGAAAAAAATTACGAATTTTTCAGTTTGTTTTTGTTTTTTTTTTTTTTTTTTTGATCAAAATAACTCTTTATCTTATTAGATAAAATGCTGATAAAAAGTCTCCCATTTCTAAAGGCCTTTTAAATATTTTACGATTTTAATTTGCAGTGTAATTTAATATTACATGTTTTTTAAATTAGTTAAATTTAACAAGACACTTGACTAATCAATATTTAATATTAAATACAATTTGTTTCAGTGCAGATCATGCTAAACAGTTGCTGCCTGCAGTAAAATAAGAAGAAGACAGCATAGAAAAAGGGCAAAAGCATTTTCATAGCTCAGTAAAGTTCAAGAGTTGCTGCAGTGCTGCAGCAGCAGTTGCTGTTGCTGTTGCTGTTGTGTTGCTGCTGTTGTACTTAGATGATCGTCGGTCGCATATTTTATAGCAAGCAAAGAATGCAGACGCCGCCGCCATTGCGTTGATGTTGCTGCTGTGTCTGGGCGATGTTGCTGCTGTGCCCGCTGCATATGCACAAAAGATAAGAGACGAAGAAAGTTGCAACCACGCAACGGCAACGGCAACGCAACAGCAGCACCCACTCACAGCAGCAACAGCAACTGTTGCAGAAGGAGCCAACCATTCCGGCGTTTATCCCATAATGATTATAAACGCCTTATGTGTGTCAGAGACGAAAGCCAAATAGCTGACCACTTTTCCACCCATTCCACATGCTAATGAAGGAAGCGCCTGCAGCCTTGTCAACGTTCTACTGCGTTCTACCATTCTATTTTTTCTATTTTCCCCCCTTTTTTTTGGGTTCCGAGATGGCTCTGGGCTCTCTCCATTAGGTGGCTCTAAAAAGGGCTAAGGAGCCCAGCCTCTTTCTCACAAATTACACCACATTTGCCGCTGGCAAATTTCTGCTGCTGCCACAGCAGCAACACACATACACAAACCCATGAGCAACTAGCAACTGGCAACCAGCAACTTGCAACTAGCAGCACAAGCAGTAGAACAAACATTTCCCGCATCTATCAGGTGCATTGATCTATGGCTATTTTTTTAATTAACGCTCAGTTTCTTTTATTGCGCGGCTACGTGAAAAATGGGAAGTTCCACAACAGCCTTTCCGCTGAACTTGAGCTTCAGCTTCAGTTGGCAACGTTTTCTTATTAGTTCATTTGTTATTGTTTTATTGCAGTTCCCAGGCGGTAGGGAAATTGTTCGCAGCCAAATAGTTGGCTAGGAAAATGAAAGGAGATAGGGAGAAATGTTTAATGGCATTTTTAATGCTCTTTGGATTTTGTAAAAACATAATTGGGATTTTATAAAGATTAAGAAATCCGATCGCTTTAATATGCTCGATAAATGTAAGGTGATGCTTAAAATATGGATAATGCATTCATTATTTATTTATCTTCATTATTCGGTACGCTTTTATTTTTTTTTAATTTAAAACATTTTAAAGCTCTCTATGTTAGTGTATAAATATGAGAACTCTGTGAAATGGAAATGGATGAGCCGCCTGAAGTTCATTAGAAGTTCTAAGCACGATCGGGGCTATAGATCACCCAGAGGGAGAAAGGTCTCGTGAAACGAAGAAAGAAATGATACTGGGAGAGAGAGGTGTTCGATGTAGAGCTACATATTTCCCAATCTGCAATTAAGAAGGCCGCGACAAATTATGTTTAATGCGAAAGCATTTAGCTAAATTGAACCAGAGAGAAACCAAGAATTTTTAGCTGGTTTTGGGGAAGTGGTGTTAGGTGTTAGTTGGCTCGTCTGGTTCTGCGAGTACCAGTCCAAATCGATGACAGACTAAACGAGCCAAGTTGACATTGAAGCGAAAGCAGCTCAAGAATCAGGCCGTCGTGCAGAGAAAGAAAATAATAGCTAACTTGTTTTAGGAAAAAATATCAAAATAAACTGAGTACAAGGACAAAAGAAACATATTTTCGTTCAATAATTTTGGTTTATTAAATAAGAAATTAAATCTTAAAGGTAAAATAACTAGTTAGACATGTTCTCAATTCCTTAAAAATGTGCTATAAATTATTAAGATAGACTTTTGTAATTAGATATATTTTCCTGATGCTCCTTAAACTTAGTTGGAGATGCAAGAAAGATTAAGAACTTTTCGCGAATTTCACCTATCGACTGGTAGTTTTCTCCGTGTATCTCGGCGTATTCCTCGCTCGGCCGACGTGTGTCTGGAATGACTAATTGAATAGAGCATGGGCTCGTATATCTCGCAGATACGTATCCGCCAGATACGTTAAGGAAGGCGTGTGCTCGGCCTAATGGCTTCGCCCAGCGAATGTTGTCAATTTGGCCTTGGCAACATTTGCTGCCAAAAGCTGGCAACATGCCTAGAGAAAGCGCTCTTCTCTCAACTATATAGATGCAGCTATATATTTCTCCGATTCTCCGGGATACGATTCTCCTGCTTCGCTCTCTCTTCTCTCTCTCTCTCTTTCTTTATTTCTCTCTGGTTGCGACGAAGATCGCAATCGCGAGGCGCAACATGTTGGCTTCAAACCGGTCTGGCCGTGAACTTGGTGAAAGAAGCTACCAAACCGAAGCTCCAGTTGGGGAGAAAAGTCTGCGGCGCGTTTTCCGCTTGGAAATTTTTAAAAGACGCTGCCATCCAGCGGCCTGGAACATTTGTAATCCGACGTTAGAAGTCAGCGGATCGTGGCAAAAAAAAAAAAAAAAAGAAATAGAAATAAATAGAAGTGTCCCAAGAAGATACACTGATTCCTGACTTTCTGGACTTCGCGTGTGTGTCTGTGTGTCCGAAGATTTGGAGTTACTGTTAGTTGACACTAATACGAGAGCGAGTGAGAAATACGAGAAATTCAAGAAAAAACCGAACGTGAATCGCGAGTGCTAAAAAAAAGTTAAATCGAGAAAAACCCCCCGAAAGTATAATCCCAACCAGAACTGCAGTCTTGGTCCAAAATGGTGCGGTTAAGTGCAGCCTGGAGCTGCTTTTTGGCCCTGATTGCGATTGCTGCTGCTGCGGCTGCCTCATCGTCGAATTATCCGGGAGTCATCGAACTGGTGGGCTATAGCAATCGCCGGGCACGCACCTACTTCCAGGAGACGCCCCGCTCCAATCCGAATCCCCCAGCCGGCCTGACCTCCTCGGCCAAAACCAGGGCCGACATAGAGACCGTTAAGAGGAATATACGGAAATACGATCGCTTGCTGGAGCTGGATACGAAAAATCTGCCCGAGCAGCAAAAGGATATGCTGGCCAGGATTGTGGAGCGTGTGGCCAGGCTGAAGGAGTCGCTGGATATTGAGGAGCAGCAGTTTAACCAACAGGAGGCAACTTCCTCCAGGAGCAGCAGTTCATCCAGTACATCGACGCCCCAGGAAACACAAACGGAGGCGGAAACGGAGCCCTTCGAGCAGAGCACCCAACCACCCACCGGATCCACCGAGGCCGAAACGGATCCCACTCTCATCCTGGACGAAACCACTCTGCTCGAGCTGCAGAATACGATGAACGAGCAGGCGGCGATGAGCACGATGATGAAGGAACTGCCCACCACCACGGATGTGAGTCAGCAGCAGCAGCAGGAAGCGGATGCTGCGGATGCAGAATCGGAATCGGAGGCCACCGAAGAGGGCGAGACCACTTCACCAAATCTAACCACCCAATCGGAGGCGGCGACTACCAGCGATGAATCCCTGACCGATTCCACCGATCCCGATGATCAGTTCGTGGCCGCCAGATCGAATAACAATATAGCGGCCATAACGGCGGCCGATGATGCCGATGGCAGCACCACCACAACCACCGCGAATTCGGGCAGTCAGCAGCGCACTTTGACCACGATGGGAAAGCTGAAGAACCGGGCCACCAAGCGACCCTTTGCCCACAAGGTCACGGCCGCTCTGAAGCGCGGAGGTCAGCGTCCGAGTAGCGTGAGTGCAGCGGCTGCCAATGCGGCTGCGGCCTCGAAACCAAGTAGCAGCAGCAGCACCACCGCCTCAGCCAGCAGCACCACCCAAAAGCAAAAAGTAGCCAGTACTAACTTCCAGCAGAAGCAGCAGCAATCGAAGCCGCTGCAAAAGGTGACTCCCTCGATTGGATCATCATCATCCAGTGCTCCTTCCTCATCGATTCCCTCGGCCACCACGAACTCAGCTGCTCCAGCTTTGCCCATCGAACAGCTGTATACTCGCACTCCTCAGGCCAATATTCCACTGGCAGCAGCGGCGGCAGCAGCAGCGGCAGGATCTGCAGGATCTGCGGGATCGGGAGCCACGCCAGCCACCTACAGCAGCAACCAGCAGGACAGCATGGTCTACGATGCCCATGTCAATGCATCTGCCTTGATCGACAGCCTCAACACAAACGCTCGCGAGGAGTACTACCAACAGAAACTGGGAGCGGCCAACAAGGATAATAAGGTAAGAAACCAAGTCTTACAAATTTCCTAAAATTGAATATTTAAACTTTCCTAAAACCTTTGGTTGTAAGGAAACTAGCCCAACACTTCAGGAAAATTTATGATAAACATTATTCCAATATAACTGGGTAATAGGAAAAGCTTGAATTTGTTTAAAAATATTTTTTAAAGTCACGTCCTTTTTATAAACCAAGAAAAAGAGGTTTAATATAATGAACTTTGACTTCTTACCGAAAATAAACTTATTTGAATTTAATATTTTCGGTTAATATTTATTATAACTCATAATTGCAAACCATGTCCGAACAAAGAGGATCTTCCAACTCCTTTCCTAAATACTTCCCCTTCTTTGGCTTAATTAGCAATGACCACCAAAAAAAAACGACCAAGTTCGAAGGGGAAATGTAGAAAGGGGAAAGGCGGCGTGCGCCTGTCAAGCTAGATACATATTTCCCAAGACAATGGGCCAAGTCCCCGGGACAGAGACATCTCTGGACAAAAAAAAAAACGGAAACCGTTTCGGGCTAAGCAAACAAAAACAAGAAGAACCGAAGTAAAACCCCGTTGAATGTCAAATGCAGAATTATTGGAACAACTTGACTCTCAAACTATAACAACAAAGCAACAAGCGATGACAACGACAATGACAACAACAACACGAAGGCATTGAAGGCATAGTAGGAGCCACAAAAAGTTTAGAGATACACAAAGAAAAAATTTGAAAATATTTAATACAAGAATATTGCACCTCTCTCTGCGATTCTCATAGTCATGAGTTAAGGTGAACTTCATGTTATGCCTTCGACCATAAATCGATTTAAAGTTATCGTTTCCAAAGTCTATAGACTTTTAAGAACCATTATAAAATTAAGAAATCTACATTTTACTCAGGCATAATGTTTTTCCAACTGTATAGGGGCACTGAGCTGGGTTGGCGACTTGGATAGTTGGCCAAAGCTGGCCACTTGTTATAAATGGAGCGCCTCCAGGCCTTTGGCTTTCCATTGCAAATCGATTGTCATAAGCTGGTGGATGGCAAGGGGAAGGGGAAGAGCCTGGAAAGCAACCGAAACTTTCAATACAATTGTTGAGTGGGTCAGTTTGTTTGGGTTGCTTTCGCAGCACAGCAAAGCGCGGAGTATCGTTTTGTTTTCTGCCTTTTTGATGACATGGACAAGGGAACTGGTCAAGCCTTATTAGATACAGTCAAGACGGAGAACTGCAGTCGGTGGGACAGCGATGAAGATGGAGGGCATCTGACTGCAGGATCGGCAATGATTTGGGCAGGCAGGCATCGGAATGCCTGGCAATTTGTTGCCACTACTGACCTATAAATTTTGATGTGCACCTAACAATGATGATTGGTAGTGGAGGCCGGAATGACTTTGCGTTAGAGTCGGTTTGAGAGACTCTGCGCAAACAACGACATAATTTATGGCCATAGTGCGATCGGCTATCGATGCAAGACGACACACATAGCCCAGCTTCCATCTTCTCTCCTCAATCCTCCAGTGTCCCAACTACCAACCAACTACCGATCATCATCGACAGGTTGAGCAACTCACTTACCCAGCAAACAGACGGAAACAGGTTGAGTTGGCGTTGCAAGATTCTAAGTGGCCTGGACTTACCTGAAATGAGAAAAGAATTAAACTAAATGAAAATGTTTCACTTGGCCATGGGTGGTTGAGTCACTGGTTCTATGCCGGTCGTGTGCCTAATTAAAATGGCAGTCACATATCCGCACCTAAATGGGTTGCAAAGACCCCGACCAGTCTAATGAAGACTTTAATTGTTTGTTTGCTGGCTCAATCGATCTGCAGATTAATCGAACTGCTCTTGTGCGGTTAGCATCGTTTGATGCCGTTTTAAGTAAGGTCTGTCAATGGATGCGATTATGGTTGCCGCTCTGGGAATGTTGGTGGAATTTAAGAATGAGTCGGAATTAGGCTTGGGTCCCAGTCTACCCAGAAAATTAAGCCGGGGAAAGTTAAGACATGAGCCTTTCATTGCCAATCCCATGAGGTGGTTCCCATGGATGTTGGATTTGGTTAAGCCCCGAAAGACACTCTCCCAGCCAAGGAGCATTACGCATTCAGCGCCTCTCTCTGCGCTTCTCAACAATGTTAGCTTGGGTAATGGCTAATCTTGTGTACTACACAGGATTTTCTTGTCCAAATAAAAGATTATACGACTGGCTTCCGCAGTTAATTAATACGGGTCTCCATCTTTCGACACCGACATCACCTGCTACACCCAGCAGTTTAGCTGTCGGGAAAATTCCATTCAGTAAACAAAACGAATTGAAAACCACTGAGTGAAAAGTGATCATTAATTACATTTCAATGCTTGGGCATCCAGCATGTTAATCGGCTACGAAAGGTCGTAAAATCGAATCAAAGCCGCTCGAGACAACGGCGCTCATCAGAAGAACTTTATGAGCTACCCATGATGGTCAGCCCAAGAAAATAGCCAGAAGATGATGACGCTTGATCAGCGGAGCGTCAAGCTCGGCTCGGGGTTGGGTCTTGATTGCTGGCTGTCGGTTACCGCTAGGAATATCATAAATTAACGATTAAGCTCAGATTTGTTTACGGTTACCGCAGAGGGAGAGGAAACTAAGGAGAATGCCTTGGTTCGGTTTTTAGCACTGTGGCCGCGTGTAATTAACACATTGTTAAATAGATTTCTGCTTCTTGGCCGGCATTTGTTTTTGGCAACAATCGAAAGATGAAAGCATAATTGTTACATTGCCAACAAAAGAATTGGGGTTCGCTTCTTTGCTAATTTGCATACAAATAATAATACAAGCTGGGGAAAAACTTTCGCTGCCAGTTGAATTTACACGCTTTCTTCTTGAAACACAATCGACTAAGAACTGCAAACGGGGCTAAAGACCCGAATGTATTTTGTTTGATTTGTATAGACAAACCGATTGTGCTTAATTATGGAGGGCAAAGCACCGTTAGTTCGTCAGCTAGTTCTATGGCTAGGTCATGTCTGATTCCGGCTGCGATCTTCTTCGCATGAGTTGAAAATTCCTCAGTTCCCCCCGTTTTTCTCATCCTCCCTCTTCCAATCTGGTGATGCAACCACCAACATACGACTTTTTCACGCTTCCAACTCGGCTAATTATCGGGGAGGATGAGAAGGCCCAGAGGCTTGGCATGAGCCAAAGCGTTGGAAAGACCACCGCTCATAATAATTAATTATAGCCTTGCCGTATGCATCACACAAAGAAGCTAAAAGAAATTTAACTGCATTTCTATGCTGTGCAGAGTCAAGGGTATGCTGGGTTTAATCGAACGTAATGTACTTTAAAATAGGATAGTTTTCTAAAAATTTCGCCTCTCTATGCGCTTCTCAAAAATCTTAGCTTGGACTATTGCCAATCTTTTGGGATTATTATATTTAGAGAACCAAACAAAATGAACAGAAGAATTGAATAAAATTAGGCGATCAAATTTTAAACCATTAGCAAAAGAATAATAACTAAATTATCGTGAAAAAGTAGTTCACTAAATGGATTTCTAGAAAGATAATTTCACTTAACCGAGACACTCGGCACCAGATTTATTCGGTTAGTTAGCTCTAAACTTTTTATATGACCTCCTCCCCAACAATCCATGGTAACCAGACCAATTCGATCACTTTCAACCCGACTTTCGATAGCGTTTTCTTCTCCTAACAAAGTTCGACTCGTGCCTCGTTGCAGCAGCAATGACACTAACAATTTCACAAGTCATAGAGCATATAATCACAGCCTTGGCAGCCAAGTATGTAACCGAATGGAAAACATGGAAAATAATGTTGAAAAAAGTGAATTGCAGTTAATGTGGATTTCTAGAAATCATAACGAAAAAAAAAAAACACACAGAAAAGAGAAAAGAGACGAAGGCGGTGCCAAATCAAAGACAAAGGAAAACCCTCCTACGGTTCGTGAAAAAGTGTGAAATTTGTTGTCTAACAATTTAACAGACATCGGCAACTGCCGCCGATTTTCCCCAAGCACACATATAGACACAAAATGGACATATATGTGGACAGCGGAAGAAGGCGTGACTTGGTCAGCCGATGATTGACATGCTGAAGTAGCATGGCCAAGTGCACTTATCGAGGTCTGTCTGTGGTGTTTACGGTGGATCCGTGTGTGTGGGCTGATGATCAAAGAAGTCAAGAAAGTTGGCATGGAAATTTGACGTTTAGTACGTCTAATTGAAAGTGGAAAAGGGCAGCTGAAACAATTGAGTGAATTTGAATTATATGATAAGCAAATGCGGTAGATTTTCTATGCCAAAAAGTCAAGGGAAGTCAAAGTTTTAACATAGTACTTTCCAAGTTAAATATCCCCAACAGAAGCGGCTTCTGTTTGAGACTCAAAGCAACTTCAAAAAGCCTCACCAGCTTTTACCGAATTTCCCCTGGCAACTCAAGAGACTCATCAGCTTAGAGCACTCCAGTCGAGAAGTCAACACCTCATGCATCAAGAACTCCAAGCCAAACATTTTCCCCCAAGCATGATCCATTACATCACAAACACTGATTTTCCGGGAGGATAGTGGAGTGGAGTGGTACCTCTAACCGAACATGTTTTGATTAAACATTTACCGCTTTGTTTTATCAATTGCTTGTTAACACAAACACATACCGACACAGAGATGATTGCAGCTGACCGTTAGAGCAAAGACATTAGACGCCCAAAGTTATGCTAATTTCAGATTGTTCAAAAGGAAAGGCTCTCGTTGAAATGATGATAAACCAGAGACAATGGTGATGATGATGATGATGATGCCATAGAAAACTGGTAGCAAGTTGCAGTGACAAAAACTGACCATCAAATTACTCAAAGTTTAACATTTTTTATTTAAATTTAACTATAGTATTTTATATTTTAAAAGGAACCATTTAACCATTTTATTTTTTATCTGTGTTATACGTTTTCAACTTATATCTAAACAAATATATATTGATAAGACTTTTCTCTCTGTGCAACGGAAGCTG